TATTTTTGAGACAGAGAGAGACAGAGTATGAACAGAGGAGGGTCTGAGAGAGAGGGAGACACAGAATCTAAAACAGGCTCCAGGCTCTGAGCTGTCAGCACAGAGCCCGATGCGGGGCTCGAACTCACGGACAGCGAGATCATGACCTGAGCCGAAGTCGGACGCTTAACCGACTGAGCCCCCCAGGCACTGCCAAAATTTTTTTAATTAAAGAACTAAGCACCCCAAATCCTTTATCCTTGCTTTATATAAAGTCTTCAAAGTGAGATGGCAAGTAATATACCTTAGATAATTTTTCTGATAACTCAGAAGCAGTGTGGCTTGTTGGCTCTCTGCAGATCGGCCACCATAGTGATAAAAGTTATCGGTGTTCCAAGACTCGCGAAAACCCAAAGTTAGGAGGAATCGTTTGCTTCAGGGAAAAGGCCCCTCCTGTGTCATCTCTACCAGAGAGCCAGGAACCCTGTTTGGTGCTGGCCCTCCTGCAGATAGGACCCTGGCGAGCGGGAAGGTGAGCCATCGATGTCACTGAGCCCCAGAGCTTGGCATGCAAGGTGCCCGTCCAGGGGACCAAGGACCCAGTGTGGGGGCCTGATGGCTTTGAGGCCTGCCATCCATTTGGTAGAATTTGTGGTGAGCTGTCTCATCGAGGGGTCATAGGGGAGGGACATACAGCCCCTGCCTCCTGTCGTCACTGGAGGCCACCGACATTCCCCAAAAGAACTTCATCCAGTTGCTGACCAGTCACACTGGCTTGGGTCAAGACGGTAAATTTGGACCGAGTTTTATGAGACTGCAAATGGGTGAATATTATCATAAACTTGCTACCGTGGACGTCTGAACTAAAAAACGTTAAGTGGGAACCTTCCTCAGTCTATCAGAAAAGCATAAGGTGTTAAGGGAATGAAGCAGGTGAGAGGTAAATAAACTCTGGTCCATCCAGACACCGGGGTGTCAGCTCTAAAACAAATGAGCTGTAGGGGCGCCTGGGTGGCTCAGTCAGTTAAGCATCCGACTTCGGCTCAGGTCACGGTCTCATGGTTCGTGGGATCGGGGCCCGCAGGGCAGGCCCTGCTCTGACAGCGTGGAGCCTGCTTGAGATTCTCTCTCCCCCTCAGCCCCTTCCCCACTTGCACTTTAAACAAACAAACAAACAAACAAACAAACAAAGAAATACAAGAAATGAGCTGTCAAGCCAGGAGAAGACCTGGAGGAAGTTTGAATGCATGTTATCAGGTGAGGGAAGCCAGTCTGAAAGGCTCCTTACTATATGATTCCAACTGTACAACATTCTGGAAAAGGCAAACTATGGAGACGGTAACAAGATGAGCAGCTGCCAGGGAGGGGGGTGAGTGGGTGCAGCACACAGGATTTTCCGGGCCATGGAAATCCCCTGTACGGTACCATAACGATAGAGACCTATCGTTGGGCATCTGCCCAAACCCGTAGACCGCGGAGCACCAGGAGTGAGCTCCAGGGTACGTCGTGGGGCTCATCAGCTGTCTCAGCTGTCACCCTCTGGCTGGATGCTGACAACGGGGAGAGTGGTGTGTGTGTGTGTGTGTGTGTGTGTGTGTGTGCAGGCGTGTATGGAATCACGTCCCCAGGATGCCGGCCACACGGGTGTGAGTAAACCAGCCCCCGCTGGTGAACAGGCTCTGGTGTTTGTCTCTCATCTCAAAAGATGTGCAGCCCCTCAAATTGTTTTGGTCTGACGCGCTGCCCCATGAGGGCCCTACAGTTCCGACGAAGAGAACTGGGCACAGAAACACGAACTCAGCCTTTGTCGAGGTGATAGCACGTGACCATACATTTCATCTCAAGGGAACGACTAGAACGCATGTTCTGTTTCCGGGGATAAATGCACGTTGGAACAGCCAGACGCAAGCGGGGTTTTCTGAATATTCTTTAGAGCGGACTCAGGGTCAGCAGAGTTGGACGTGGTTGTCCGGCCCCGTCTGGTCGCCTCAATGCTGGCCCTCTGGCCGTCCCAGCAAGGACTATGAAAGTAGCCAGTTAGATCTGACCCCACCCTGAGATCTTGGGGCTCTGTTCCTGTCCCTGCCACAACACGGTATGGGGGTCATCCTCTGGGTCACTCTCGGCTTTGCCTTCAGCCCCAGAAGCTGTCCCTCCGTGTTGACTACCACCACTGGGCCCCCGAGTGTCCAGAGAAAAGGTGAAAAATGAACTAATTCTATAATTAGCAAAGCATTAAGGGGACGTACTTTTCTGTCTCATTTTTGCCCGAGAGCCTCCGGCATCTTGTTCTAGCATCTAATCAAGAGACCATGCCGTGTGCCCAAACTGGATCATTCCCTCTTCAATAACTAGATTCCTAATGTTCAGACAGAGGGCTTCTTCTCATTAGAGAAAACACTTTTCCTGTTCCCATGCTGATTCGGACTCCTTGGGTTGCCTTTATCCTTCTCCATACCCCGCGGTTATGTCTTTTTAAAATAGCCATGGGAAGCTTGGCTTTCAATCAGATTGTTAACTGTCTTCGGGGGGCCCACCCAAATGGTTTAATTAATAACTACAAGCTTGTTACAAGTATCATTAATTAACGCGTTGGATAAAATAAACCACGCAAGTGACAGGAATGTTTGAACAAAGTTGCTCTGGGCGGAGACCAGCAAAAACACGCCTCACGAGGGGTTCGGAACCGTGCTCTGCGCACCCGTGGAGAGGAGGCAGATGGCCTCATCTGGATTCAGTTTTGGGAGACAAAGATTTTTCCAATTAAAGTCACTTAAAAACAGACTTCACAATGAGGGAGACCAAGCATTTAAAAAAAAAAAAAATCCCTGACATTTGTAAGGTGTGGGTTTGGAAAATACCTGCTTTCTCTTCCTTGCAGGGGAGTGGGTTTGGGGAAAGTCCGATTGGAAAAGCCCAATGGGATGCACATCAGCTGATGGCGACTTTGACCTTATGACTCGGAACCGTCTGTCCTGCTGAAATGCACATCCAAGGCCCTGGTCCCTGCGTGCAACCCGAATGATTTGGCGTTCCACCTAACTCCGTCGGCTTCCGTATTTTTCATGTTTAGAGAAAGAGGTTTTGGTTGATTGGTGTTTGTGATGAGTAAGCAAGAGAAAAGGGGGCGTAGAGACAGCTCTGGAAGTGTGCAATCACCTGGCATGATGAGCTCTGCGGCGGTTGGGCGGGGCCGTGATTTTGCTCCGAAAATGATTTTAGCTACAAGTTGCTCATTTAACTTAACGATTAGCTGTTATGTCCTGGCAATCACTGGCATACTTACCAGTTCTTGTAACATGGGAACACTTAGCTTTACAAATGTTTTTCAGATGTAGTGAGACTTTCATGTGTCCTCAATTTCACAATTAATGGAGGAGTATGTAAAGTAATCATCTGAGTTTCCTATTGCTGTTTCCATACTTTGAGGCCTCTAATTTTTTTCAAGTCTTAAACATTTCCAAAGCTCCTTGAAAACACACGTAAGCCTGAGGCTCTTTATCTTGGCGGCTAAAGAATACAAGGGGTCAGACTCTCGGGAAAATTCTGAGTCTTATGCAGAATTAGTTCTCCTTGATGGTCAAAGTACATTCTCACTGGAACGTCCCGAGGTGGGTGCAGAAGTATAATTAACCCCCTTTTCTAGGTTCTAGGTTCTAGGTTCTAGCTCCCGGAATGGTGACTTAACCAACATGTACTCTCTCTGAGAGTCCTTCCACGATGGGTCCAAGGGGACAGGTGTCTCTGCTGCACGTGCTCACTCAGGGACCCAGGCTCTGTCACCTTGCTGTTTTGCCGTTGCTTAGGGTATCGCTGTCATCTGTGTGGTTGCAGTTCACAGGCAGGTGGAGGGCAGGGCGGGACATGGGCTCGATGACTTAAGGCCCAGAGGCAGTGGTGGTGCCTGTCGCCCCCCACCCACATTCCAGCGCTGATGCGTCTGGTCACACGACCACGACAAACTGCACAGGAGGTCGGACAGGGGAGGAATCTCCCGCGGAGCAGCCAGGAGCTCGACCAGCACTCGGTCCCGTGGAAGAAGTGGGAGGTGGGGGGGTGGGGATACTGCGGATGTCCCCCGTCCCGTGCCACCTCTCCCAGACTCCTCCACGCGTCACCCCAGCCACCACGGTTCAGGAATGAGAACATCCCTGTCCTTGTGGGAAGTCCA